CGTGGAGGAGCTGTGCCCCTATTCCTGGCGGGGATGGTTTCGCTGAGGCGGTACGGCGGTGGTGTGGGGAAGTCTGGGGGAGGCCAAATCCAGCCCCCTCCCAGCCTGGCTGCGCTGCTCGACACCTGGGTCAAAAAGCATGAGAGGGTGGAAGGGGCTGCTTTGGAAATGCAATGGAAAACATGGTGTGCATCTGCAAAACTGCTGGTGGGAGACAACCCCGAATAGCCAGAGGGACTCTGTGAGCGTCTCCAAAAAGCTGTACCTACGGCCAGCAAGTGGAGGCCTTTCCTCCTCGCTGCTGTGAACAAGCGATTCCTCGGCTGCTGCGTCCTAACGGGGCTTATCTCCTCTGACCCCCACGCATCGCCCCTGCCGCCCAGAGCTCCGACCCAGCCGTGCCGAAACTCCCATTAAGAGGGTTAGCGGTGTCTCGGTCGCAGCGGTGTTAGTGGTGCGCTAAGAGAAACGTTGCCTTCATCCCCACCTCCTCATCCCCATCCATCACCCCTCCGGCAGGGAGACCCCGGGGTTCAGGGTGGTCGGGGTAGAGCCCTGCCTCCGGGCTCACCCTGCGGTGCCAAAATTTGGGTTTAGGGCGGACGGACTCCGAAGCGTCATCCCCTTTGCCATGAGCAGCCGGAGCTTTTCCCAGCCAGCCTCCACGGGGCACAACCCGGGGAGGGCCGCGGCGCTGGGCGGCCCCGTCACCGCTCTCGCTCCCTCCGGCAGGTAGAAGAAGCCGACGACTGGCTCCGGCATGGCAACCCCTGGGAGAAAGCCCGTCCCGAGTACATGCTGCCTGTGCATTTCTACGGCCGGGTGGAGCATGCTGCCACCGGTGCCAAGTGGGTCGACACCCAGGTACGGGCCGGGGCCGGCGTGCGGGGAACCCCCCTTGCGTGGTCCAGCCAGCGTCCCTGCCAGGGAGGGTTGTGCCGGTGAGGCTGCATCACTGGGGTGGAAAAGACAGTGGTGGAGCAAACTGGGAAGGAGATGGACATAGGGATGGGGACAGGTTTTGCTGCTCCACCTCTGCAGCCAACCTCTGAAATACCCAAAAGCACCTCCCAGCAGGTCTGCGTGCAATGCAACGGCTCGGCACGGCGGCT